ATGAGCTGGCACTCTCATCATTGCCACAAAATGCCAACTCCCGTTTAACTAGGTACGCTACCCAAGGTAGCATTAATTACCTAGATCTTTCAAAATCTCACAGTTCTCTTTTACCAGGGCCGGCTCCGGGCATAAGCAGCATATGCAATCGCTTAGGCTCACCGGCCGCTAAAATCTATTTGTGAGCTGCCAAATATCTTAAAAGCTATCTGTCTTTGGATGTGAGACAGATTTCTCATGCTTGTTGAGTGCTATATGCAAGATGTTAAAGTCACAGTAACCGGCTTTTGTTCACACGCTGTCGCTTGTGGAGAACAGCAGGCAGTGGAAGCAGTAGAGTCGACTGCTAGCAGCGCAGCCTCAGAGACGGTCTTTCCGTTCAGTGTTGGCAACTCCTCAGTAAGGAAAGTAGCTATTGGCTGTCCTAAAAGTCGCTAGAAGTTGCTAAATAACGTCATCACATAATTTGCATAATTGGCCATGTGCATGTAATTGTGATGGACGCTGTAGGAGAGGAATAACGTCTTCGGAGAGACAAAAAGTGAGTAAAAAGCTGAGCGAGGACTGGGCCGCCTGTGAGTTGATAAGTTGCGTCAATTCAAATCTGGTATTGGGAACAAAAGAGGTCAATACACGTCTTCTAAAATAGACTAGTATTTTAATTAATGCAAAACACTTCAATGGTAAATATGATGTTCGTATCTACGGGTCCACTGAAATACCACGCAGGGCAGACAGAGAACTGATCCATTGTTCTAAGTTCTTCTCCAAATACTCTGACAGAGATAGTTCCCGCTCCCTGCTGGCCTATCAGAGTAGAGACTGAGCGTGGTTTAGACTTACTCAGCCTATCGTTGGTGCACAGGCTGGTCCCAGCCCCTTGGCGCTTCACTGTTGCCAGGTGTTGGTTGTTTTGCACTCATCCAGAGAGTCAGCCCCCATAGACACAGTTCCCCTGTACTTTCCCACCCTAACTATACTCTTTGTACCTACGTCCTTGGACGGTTCAACGAAGAGGCAGTGTGAGTCACAAGCCTTATCACCCCCTACTCCCTAACAGCTCCTCACATTAATCACAGCTTGTTAGGTTAAACAATTTATATCAGTACAGTACAAACCTTTTATGTTTAATCATTAATGCTTTCTTATTAAGATAACAGCACATCTAAAATATAAGAGAATAATTTCCCAGAGTGCACCCGCTGCTCGTTGAGAATAGTAAGAACGATACGTGCTTTCACGTCAGTCTCCAATAACACCAGAAAAAGTTGCTAAATTTGTCGCTAGTCACTTTTTTGAAAATGTGTCGCTAGAGGGGTCTGAATACTCGCTAAATATAGCGACAAAGTCGCTAAATTGGCAACACTGTTTCCGTTGATACCACTCAGATTTAAACTATCATGTAGGTCTGTCCCTAATCTCAGTGGTGTAAAGTAGTTAAGTAAGAATACTGTAAAGTACTACTTAAGTAGTTTCTTGGGGTATCTGTACTTTACTTTTTATATTTTTGACAACTTTTACTTCACTACATTCTTATAGTAAATAATGTACTTTTCATAAATTTTCCCTGACACCCAAAAGTACTTGTTACATTTTGAATGCTTAGCAGGACAGGAAAATGGTCAAATTCACGCACTAATCAAAATAACATCCCTGGTCCTCCCTACTGCCTCTGATCTGGCTGACTCACTAAACACAAATGCTTAGTTTGTAAATGATGTCTGCATGTTGTAATGCGCCCCTGGCTTAATATAAGCCATTAGAAATTATTTATACTTGTATTTTTGATACTTACAGTGCATTCGGAAAGTATTCAGACCCCTTGACTTTTTTCCCCACATTTTGTTATGTTACAGCCTTATTCTAAAATTCATTAAATAAATGTTTTTCCTCATCAATCTACACACAATCTACCCCATAATGACAAAAAAAAATACAGAAATACCTTATTTACATAAGAATTCTGACTCTTTGCTATGAGACTCGAAATTGAGCTCAGGTGCATCCTGTTTCCATTGATCATCCTTGAGACGTTTCTACAACTTGATTGGAGTCCACCTGTGGTAAATTCAATTGATTGGACATGAGCTGAAAGTGCACGTCAGAGCAGAAAACCAAGCCATGAGGTCGAAGGAATTGTCCGTAGAGCTCAGAGACAGGATTGTGTCGAGGCACAGATTTGGAGAAGGGTAGCAAAAAATGTCTTCAGCATTGAAGTTCCCCAAGAACACTGTGGCCTCCATCATTCTTAAATGGAAGAAGTTTGGAACCACCAAGACTCTTCCTAGAGCTGGCCGCCCGGCCAAACTGAGCAATCGGGGGAGAAGGGCCTTGGTCAGGGAGGTGACCAAGAACCCGATGGTCACTCTGACAGAGCTCCAGAGTTTCTCTGTGGAGATGGGAGAACCTTCCAGAAGGACAACCATCTCTGCAGCACTCCACCATTCAGGCCTTTATGATAAAGCGGACAGATGGAAGCATTCTTCAGTAAAATGCACATGACAGCCCTGTTGGAGTTTGCCAAAAGGCACCTAAAGGACTCAGACCATGAGAAACACAATTCTCTGGTCTGATGAAACCAAGATTGAACTCTTTGGCCTGAATGTCAAGCATCACGTCTGGAGGAAACATGGCACCATCTTTACAGTGAAGCATGGTGGTGGCAGCATCATGCTGTGGGGATGTTTTTCAGTGGCATGGACTGGGAGACTAGTCAGGATCAAGGGAAAGATGAACGGAGCAAAGTACAGAGAGATCCTTGATGAAAACCTGCTCCAGAGTGCTCAGGATCTCAGAATGGGGCGAAGGTTCACCTTCCAACAGGACAACAACACTAAGCACACAGCCAAGACAAGGCAGGAGTGGCTTCAGGACAAGTCTATGAATGTCCTTGAGTGGCCCAGCTAGAGCTTGGACTTGAACCCGATCGAACATCTCTGGAGAGACCTGAAAATAGCTGTGCAGTGACGCTCCCCATCCAACCTGACACAGCTTGAGAGGATCTGCAGAGAAGAATGGGAGAAACTCCCCAAATACAGGTGTGCCAAGCTTGTAGCGTCATACCCAAGAAGACTAGAGGCTGTAATCGCTGCCAAAGGAGCTTCAACAAAGTACTGAGTAAAGGGTCTGGATACTTATGTAAATATAATATTCCTGTTTTTAATTTTTTATAAATGTGCAAAAATTTCTAAAAACCTATTTTTGCTTTGTCATAATGGGCTATTGTGTGTAGATTGATGAGGGAAACAAATAAATTAATCAATTTTTGAATAAGGCTGTAACGTAACAAAATGTCGAAAAAGTCAAGGGGTCTGAATACTTTCCGAATGCACTGTAAGTATATTTTTGCAATTACATTTACTTTTTATATTTAAGTATATTTAAAACCAAATACTTTGACTTTTACTCAATACTTTTATTTGATTCATTTTCTATTAAGGTATCTTTACCTTTACTCAAGTATGAAAATTTGATACTTTTTTTCCCATCCCTTAACAGTTTCAGATACAATACATTAGCCATCTTGATCAGCTTACTTTAGTAAGCAGTAAAACGAACGCAACTGCCAAAAGGCGGCAGACGACATGCGACGTCCATCGGCAGGAGCGAGCTCGGCCTATCCCATTACTTTTTTCAAAACATTTTAAGACAGTTGAAGCTCATTTACTGCATTTTGACACAATTTAAAAGCTCTAAAATGCTATTTGGAGAACAGAAAAAATCTAGAATAAAATGACCCCAGCCATCACATTGATTGCTGTAGCTTCATTCACCTCAGTCGATCTACAAACGTAGCATATTAGCTATACAATTACATGCTACACATGTACTCAGCACCAGGATTAAAAACTATAATACGTACAGAGGGATCTGTTAGCAGAAAAAGGTTTTGCATTTTAAAAAGCTAATTTCCTGTAATTCTACACATTTTGCCATGACTAATATGATATCTGAGGGAGAGTGACTAACAGAATCAATGGGGGCCCCCTGGACACGAGCATAGACATGGGAAATCTAAAAAAGACAACAAAAAATCACAAAAGTAGTGCACTGGGCCTTTACTAGCCCCATACCGATATAGCAGTGTGTAGTGCGGTGCAGCGATTCTCAACCAAAATTGAGTGGTGGGAGGTTGAGCAGTATGGAATTATTGAAAATGAAAATTGTATTTCCAGTCAATATGGTGGCAGGTGGCCTGCTGGTTAAAGTGTTAGGCCAGTAACCAAAAAGTTGCTGGTTTGAATACCGGAGCTGATAAAAGGTAGAAAAATCTGTAGTAGTGCCCTTAAACAAAGCATTTTGTTTTCTTGTCATATAATTGTTAAATGTATTATCAATAGAGCATTATAACTAGTTTCCCACATTGCATTTTGGCCCAAAACCTAACTTTTGGTGAATTTTCCACCTGCGCAAGTATTCATCATCATGGTCATCCATGTCATCATTATCAAACAACAGATCTGGTAAATAAACTAAAAAAAATTAAACCATGGCCGTATTTCAATCCTAGGCACTTTATAGAGCAGCGCACTGGACAGTCGACAAAGCATATTTTAAAGGTAATTAACACTTGAGTCGACATTTGCAGGGATCCACGAATGGAATCACTGCAAACGCCTGGGAAATTGCCTTTAAATTACACCTTTGTCGGCTGTCCAATGCACTGCTCTATAACACACATTAGATTGAATCCTGGCATATGACTGACAGTTGCACTGGGAGGTCTATGGAAGTCTAACAGAATAAGTGATTGTAAAGTAATAACTAACTTATAAATATATCTCATGATCTTAGTTCATCCGTCGTACCCCATCTGAAGACAGAATGTAATTGTAAACAAATACTATAGCCTTATAACATGGCTAAAACTGTACTTTTGATCTCATGGATGGTCCTTGGATCCATAGCTCTTTCTATGAATTTGAGTGGTTACATTTCTCCAGCCCATTCCCTCAGCCATTTACCAAAACATAATGGTTGGGGTGCCCATTTAGTTGTTTTTCAAATCCCAGATTGCCCCTTTAAAAACAGGAAAAATAAATCAACTGGCATTCAAATGAGAAACAAAATGTTCTTTATTTACAAAATAACTGATGGTTGCAGTAGGCATTTCCCTAAGAATACAATAGTCACCACAAATTTGAAGGCTGTTCCAAAGCTACTATTAAAAACAAAGCAAATGAGACAAGAATTCCAACAGTAAAATAAAAAGGGGTCCAAAATGTAATCAAAGCGGTCTCTCCACTTCCGTCACCAGCGCCTCAGATCAGGTCAGCCACTGAGGAGAAAAAAATGTCATGTTAATGACAGCCATCTAATGTCAATGCCCATTTTGTAAAATAACCCCAGGTCTAAATGGCCCTAAAACTGAAGAAACACTTACATTTAGTTGCTTGAACAACCAAAACAGCAATACTAAACATATCAACATTGTCTATTAAATATTCAGGCAGAAGATTAACAAATGCTAATTTACCGTTCATTGGCATTTCATCGATCTGTGTGGAATAGTACTGCTCAATGTCACGGAGAATACGGATGTCGTCATTCTTCACAAAGTTGATGGCCACACCCTTGCGGCCGTAACGACCCGATCGGCCAATCCTATGAAAAGAGAGGGTGAGGGACAGAAAACACCAGTAAAATGTTTGCCCTGACAAGCCGATTTATGATTGATGCGATGCGAGCCAGAGGCTCCTGGAAAGAGATCAGGGAGGTAATGGGGATAGATGTGTTAAAGCGGTCAATGGAATGCAGACCATGGGGGATAGATGGACGCTGGATTGGCACACATTCAACAAATCTGATTTTAGTGGATGTCAAATCCGTCATGATTTATGTACTGTAACAGGCCCACAATGTGATTACTAAAATCAGATTTGGATATATGTGGCTGTTTTCGCTGCATAACATTTAGAAGTTGTCCCTTTCCAAGTTTAGAAAAAGCGACTGCTAAATGCTAACTCCCGTTCGTATAAGCTGGTAGCATAACTAGCATACAGAAATGAGTGGTAGTAGTCAGTCGTTTTTAACTCTAATTCAGTTGATTGATGACATGACCATTTATTGGGGTTGACATTCATACAAGCATTATACTCTTGATTTTTACCTCAACATCATGTAAAATACACAGCCATTGTCCGAATAGCCACATTGCATACCATATATCGCTCAGTTTCTATAGTTGTGCTCTGAGCTGGCAGCCAGACGTACCTATGGATGTACAGCTCTCTGTTGTTGGGCAGGTCGTAGTTGATGATGAGGGACACCTGGGGCACGTCCAGACCTCTCGCCCACACATCAGTGGAGATGAGCACTCGGCTACAGGGGGAGAGGAGCGATCACACGTTAGGCCAAACCAAGGTCATATTCATTTGGAACCAAACGGGCTGAAACGGTCGCAAACAGGGAGGGACTATCTGAACTTCGGTAGTAAGAAACCCTCGTTTTCATTTTCCTTTGCAAAACGTTTTGCTACGGTATGCACTAATTAAGTCCACCCCTGGGAGATTTAAAAGAACAATGCTTAGACATGTTCCCAGGGAGTGAACAGAGCAACGGTACAAGACGTACCGGACCCCTGCCTCTCTCTGGGCTTTACTGTGGCACTGGAATGGAACCCACAGCTCACACTGAGGACTGAGCCAGGTTACGAACAGTGCAATGAAGAATGTCAAATAATGTATTTTTTTTGCCCACTAGTATGCTTTATCTGGGTGTGTATAGGAAAGACAACATTCTTTATCAGGTGGACCAGAAAGAATCCACGCGATACAGCACATAGTCATGTAATAGGTTCAAAATGTTCCTCCAGCTAAGAGACTCAACCAACTGTTCAACCAACTAAGCTAACGTCTCTTGTCATCACAAGATGGACACGACTCAGATATACATCTAGATTACACAACTACATGTGCAAATTATTGGCGATTGCATCCTGTGAGATTTTTTATTTTTTATAAACGTTTGTTAAAAACAGAAATGGGTAAGACCAGCTTCAACTTTCTCATAGAAATATGACAAAGTAACTACTGACACGAGAGCACATTCATTATTGATCAATATTGACCCAGTGGTCATACACCCAAAATGTACTCATCATTACCTGGCGCCGGACCGAAACTCTTTCATGATAGACTCTCTCTCCTTTTGGGGCATGTCTCCGTGCATGGAGGACACAGTGAAGTTGGCCTCCCTCATCTTCTCAGTCAGCCAGTCAACCTATCGTAAGCAGAGTGAGGACAGATAGAGGCTCAGGCCAAACAAGATTCCTGAAATGCACAATATAGGGAAAAGGGTGCCATTTGGGACGTATCCTATGACAGGGGGGGGGTTCATGTTACCAGAGAGTGAACAGAGCAACGGTACAAGACGTACCGGACCCCTGCCACTCTCTGGGCTTTACTGTGGCACTGGAATGGAACCCACAGCTCACACTGAGGACTGAGCCAGGTTACGAACAGTGCCAACAATGATTTTCTTGACATTCATCGGTGTGATCGGCAGGATCAATGAGAGGTTGAGGAAACACTGGCATTCTTCATTTGACAAACTAACAATGTCAAAGCATGTTGGCCCCGGGGAGATGGAAGAGCGACAAAATAGCTGGGACCTCTTCTTTTAGTTTTCATTTCTTAAAAATCCATTTTTTTTACAATGATGGGCATTTGAAAATGTATTTCACTCCGATATACAACTGAAAACGAAACGTAACATATCTTCACTGCGCTTGACATATTCCACAAACAAACATATTTGTGGACATTGACAGTGCTTATAAATCTAACCTGCTAAATAGTTGCATTAAAAAAATTAAGTACACATTACCGATCGAATACAAACCTTCAATGGAGTACTCCTGCCATCACTATTTTACCAGTACATATAACCTAAGGGAGACCGTACTCACTAGGGGGAAAAACATACAATAACTATCAACAGCTGCCACATAACCCAAGTAGCTCCAGGGTGAAGTTTCCCCTAGGCACAGATCAGCTTCCCTCTCCCCTAATCCTAACCTGAACTATTATTGGGGGAAATGCAAAACTGACCCAAGATCAGTGTTTAGGGGCAACTTCACAATACATGTAACTTTGTTTTAGTTGTGTACAGACCTTCCGCTTGGTGTTGCAGAAGATGACAGCCTGCGTGATGGTGAGGGTGTCGTACAGGTCGCACAGGGTGTCAAACTTCCACTCCTCCCTCTCTACGGCCACGAAGAACTGCTTGATGCCCTCCAGAGTCAACTCATCACTGGGAGAGGGAAAGGAAGAGAGGGGTTAACTCAGCATTGGACCTCTTCTGCTGCTAAAGAAAATGAACACATCTAAATACTTTTTTCCAGTGAGTGCAGGTCTTCCTATTCCAGTAAACTCCGTTCTTCCCATATAATATTTTCTAGGCAGGGCGCAAAGCCCCAAAAAGCACAACCATGCCATCAACAAAAATACATCGCAATTGAAGGAGAGCCGCATGTAGCTTGCCATGACAGGGGGGTTTGGTTCATGTTACCAGAGAGTGAACAGAGCAACGGTACAAGACGTACTGGACCCCTGCCACTCTCTGGGCTTTACTGTGGCACTGGAATGGAACCCACAGCTCACACTGAGGACTGAGCCAGGTTACGAACAGTGCCAAAAGGAATATTTCCTTGACTCGCCTATATAATAGTCAGAAATACTGGTATAGATAAGATGGAATATTTCGCTCTGCTCTCTGAAAGTTGCCACAGGAACGGTGGGGACCCTTTTCGATTTAAGCATGGCTGATTCTCTGATGACTATATGAGGTTTGTATTCAGACTAAGTACACATATTCAGACTAAGCCGGTCCCAAATCACTCCCAATCCCTCGCCCCTAACCCCTGGATGATTGCAGATGTGTAGGGTCTGGATACATATAAGCAGTTCAGTGATGGAGCATCCACCATATTTCTTCCACCTTACAGACCTGCAGAAATGAAGGGTTAGGGCCATGGGGTAGCGAGTGATTTAGGACCGGCTGATTTAAACTTCCCTCCTTTTCACCCCTCTGTATACATTACACAATGCTGCCCCCTAGAGTTCACAACTTGAACGAGTCTGGTTGAACCAGCCTGGTCATCATTCTCAACACAGCGATCAGGCTGGTTCCACTAGGCTAGAAACCAAGGGTGGTACTTCCTAATATACAGCCGCGTAACTCTTGACTCACCGTTTCACCAGGATGCGGATTGGGGTCGGTCATGAACTTGTTGGTCATCTCCAGGATCTCGTGGGGCAGCGTGGCGCTGATCAGACAGACCTGGGTGGCGGGGGGCAGGTACCGGTACACGTCATAGATCTGCTCTTTGAAACCTGCCGGACGGGTGAGGGAAAGATATTCAGTTTCCGCTTCATATTACACTACACCTCCTGGGAAAAGTTGTGCAGACCGTCAAAATGACTTTCCTGTGCAAAAGTGTCTGAGACCAAGCGTCCCTGCCTGCCGTGGGATGCAGACAGACAGGGATAGTAGGAAACTAGTTGATGTGTGCAGGGGGAACGACAAAACAGCACTGAACAAGCTGCACTGTAACTTATCCTGCTTTACCATGAGACCTCTTGTTCTTGTTGTTTTTGGGCATCAGGAGAGACTGGAAGACGTCTTTCGTTTCATCTATGTAATGCACAATAGCGTGTCTGGCTTACCCTTGTTGAGCATTTCGTCTGCTTCGTCCAGCACCAGCATCTTGATGGCGCGCGTCCTCAAACTCCTCCTGCGGATCATATCTAAAGAACAGAAAGACAGCAGGGCCTGCATCAGTTAGCCCGCTGTGTGAAAATGGAGGGAACTCTTCTCAATTCATGCTCCGACTGAAGACACGACCCGTGCGGTGAGTACAGTGAGCCTAATTCAAGATTTTCTACTCATGCAAATGTTCTAGTTACCGTTCTTTGAAATGTTCTGTCTCAGGTAAATCATGTGAAAAATTTGGAGATTGGGAGACTGGAGTGGGACCTTAAGTCATTGATTTACTGTCATTTTTCCCCTGTCTGTGTTACAGGGGGGTCATGTTACCAGGGAGTGAACAGAGCAACGGTACAAGACGTACCGGACCCCTGCCACTCTCTGGGCTTTACTGTGGCACTGGAATGGAACCCACAGCTCACACTGAGGACTGAGCCAGGTTACGAACAGTGCAACGAAGAATGATTTTCTTGACTTTACTATTGTCCTGAGTATGCAGAGCAGCCTCATTACGTAAGTTACAAACTGTTCCAATGAACGCAGATCCAGACTGAACCCACGAAGTGAAACAATGTTGAAACAGCAGAATTCCGTTTTGATTCCTGTGACAGAATTCGGAGAGATATTAAATGTCTAGTCTGCTTCATACCTGTGGATGGGAGATCGATACTAGAAGGTTAGGGTCCAGGGAACTCACCAAACACTCTCCCAGGGGTCCCTGCTACCACGTGCTGGCCATAGTCCAGTTTGCGGATGTCCTCACCCACGTTTGTCCCTCCGATGCAGGAATGACACTGGACGTTCATGTAGTCACCTAGGGCCAGGAGCACCTAGAGGAGGGAAGGGATGTTAACATCTGAGTAATAGGAGATAATGGCTGCGTCCCAATTCTCTACTCTTCTAACGGAGTGTGCACTTGCACACTCCCCGTCATGGATTTCACAATGGTGGAAACTCCCTCCAGCCAATGCATCACCAATCCAATCCTTTGCCAGTGTTCTGATCTGGGCCGTGTTCAGTCGGCATAGAACAGGAGAAAACGTTTTGAAACTGAGGGAAACAGGGAGGTACTATCTGAACATATCAAATAAACACTTGTTCCCATTTTCCATTGCACAGAGTTTTGAAGTATTTGCTACAGTGTTTCCAAATGAACATGACCCTGAACCTGTCCAATAGAAAAACTTTGTTTCAATACATTTTGTTACTGTGTGCCCTACTGACCAAGACATTTCAAATTTTTCCAAAGCAGTTTTCCCCCAGTCCATCAGAATACACTTGATATTCAGTCACATACCTTCTGTATCTGTCCAGCCAACTCTCTGGTGGGAGCCAGGATCAGTGCTTGGGTTTCACGCACCTGTGACAAAACCCAAAAAAATCACATTTTGCTCACGCTGTCCAAACTCCACATATTCCGAGTGAGAAAATGTCACAACACAAAATGTTGATGGATGATCTAAAACTGATATGTAATGATGACGGAACATCAGTACCTACAACAGGGCTCGTATTCATGTAGTCTCTCAAAGTAAGAGTGCTGATCTAGGACCTCGTCCTACATGTTCATATACAATTATTCATTATGATCTCAAAGGAAAAACTGATACAAGATCAGCACTCCTAGACGCTGGATACGGGCCCTAGTCTGCACATATTAACAACACTAACTCAAATACCTGAATGTCAAGACACTGCAGCACTGATACGCAAAACGTGGCAGTCTTTCCTGTTCCTGACTGAGACCTAAAGAAAGAAAGAAGAGTGTTGAAGAACAGAGAAAGATGGTATTCAACGGCCACTATAAACAAACATTTGAACAAGGGCCCTGGGTGTATTTATTAGTCGTATTCCGTTGCAAAACGTTGTCTGCAACGGAAACCGTTTACTCCAAATGTAAAACGTGAGTTTCTATTGGACTAATTCAGGTAAGCCCCCCCCCGTTTGGTTCCTAGAGAAAACTGTTTCCATTGCAAAACGTTTTGCAACGGAATCCGACTAATGAATACACCCCTGATGAATAGCCAAATCGAACAAGTTCCAAACATTTAACTATCTTTAGTCTGTAGCTCTGGATGTTGTGGTTCTCCAGTGTAAACAGTCACTACTTACTGTGCAATGACATCTCTACCCTTGATGATCTGTTTAATTGCCCTTTGTTGGATTGCGGATGGCTTCTCGAAACCTGAGAATAAGAAATAAAAGATGGTTAATTATGTAGGCCCATGATACTCTTTCAAGTTAAATAGTTCAATAAACATGACATACTATTCATGTAATCCTTTGAGCAACTGGAAAATATAGCTGGTAGTACTGAATCTTTTCCCAGTTGTGCAGACTGTTCGTGTCAAATTTGATTATCACTGGCTAGAACAGATTGCGGCACAAAATGCTCACACACATCAATATTCATCAACAAGTGAGGAAAACGCAACATGTACTAAAACCTAAAGGGGGTGGGGCATGCCAGTTAACTAACATTAGCTAGGTAGCGAGTTAGCTAGATTGATTGACAATGAAGCTAGTTAACTAGCTAACGTTAGCTAGGTAGTTGGCTAATGCTAACTAATGAAAAACAAATACAAAATTCTGGCTTTTTTCATTACAATACTCGCAGCATGTGTTCGTTCTGGGTGTGTAACTGAGTCATGAAGCACAGAAAATGTGTCCAAATAACTTACTTGGGTATCTGCCTATATGGGCCCACTGTCCCAAACAAACCCCCGGCCCTACCGTATGCGTAGATCCCACGGAGGAGATCCTCTCGTAGGCCCATCGTGTCGAAGGTAGGAGTAACATCGACCTCCTCGCTGGTCTCAAACTCGATCTTGGTCATGTCTTCCTCCTTCAATAGACGCCTCGTACGTGGTACGGTGGCTACTTCCATGGCTTTTGTGAGAGTTTTCACAAAATACGTATGAAATCGACAACTTCACCAGCTCGAGTTCTGCTGCGGGAAGTAGAAAAAAAGACCGCCGCATGTGTCGCTCTAGTGACGCCGTAAGCAAGAGACAAGAATTTGCATGACGTATTTTGGGTCGTCACCATAGAGATCCGATTAAAGGTGTACCAAAGATTTTTATAACTAAACCAAGATAGACCACTGCTTGTAGTTTCCAATGGAAACAAATGAGTCATAGTGGGCAGAACAAACAAGGAGGTGGGCAGAGCCAAGCACGCGCTAGCGATATCCTATTGGCGCGTTCTAGTATCTGCATATTTCCGTTACGGAAACGCAATTCGCTTTTGCACTCCTTCCAAACAGCGCGATTTTAAAAAACGTTTGAAAAGGGTCAAGTCTACAAAACATAGCCCATTCTGTTCATAACATATTCTAGTTTTGGGAACAGAAAACTGTATTGAGATCAAATGTTTAATCGATGAGAAAATGTGCAACATGTCGGCCAAAATACATATTCTCCCATCTTCCCTCTCACTACCATATTTGGAGTGGATGCTTCACATTTATCGATCCAGTGAAATATCTGTCTCATTGTTCTATCTGTGGGTGCACTATGAGAAATCGCTCCGCCATTTCCTGGTTGCTAATTAGGAATATATGCCGAGTTCACATACTAGTCGGGACTAGAAAACGTGGAAGATTTCTGACTTTTTTACTGGTTGAACACGTGTGTAACTACAACCATTTAACAAATCGGAAAATTCAGAGTTTCCTAGTTCTGACTAGCACATGAACGTGGCAATACAGAGAAGGAACCGTCAGATGTTTCATAATAGCCCGGAAGTAAATCCGCACTGGGAGCCACATTTGAAATGGAATACATTGAATCCATGGAGCAGGTTGGAAAAAATCGCATTAAAACACTGTTAAAATGTTTGGAAGGTCTGTCATCACCATTCATGTAATACATTAAATATATACATCAGACGGTATTGGGGAGCTATTTCATAGTTTTTTCACGGTTACATTTCCAATTTCAATCTTATAGCAAACCCTATGCTTGGTTTGACTGTTATGGGCAGAGCAGACCAATCGATATGCGCTTTAGTTACGTATTTATACACCCCAAATTCTAATTTAATCCTTACTTGTATGTTTATTGGAGTTCCAATCCAAACACCCTCCATTTTATCTTGGTTCAATTTAGCTCCAGCGACTTCTTTGTATAAATTCAAATGATTGTTTAATCTATTCAACTCATCTTGATTTCTGTTTATAACAGACACATCATCGGCATAAGTAAGTGCGACAACGGGCTATCTAGAGCTGGTGATAGTACCTTGAATACTTGGATCTTCTTTAATTCGCTTTAGGATAGGGCTAATAGCTATTACATACAAGGCTGTGCTAAGTGGGCAACCCTGTTTCACCCCCCTTTCAATTTCAAAAGGTTCGGTCAGGAACATTTACATTAATTGGACAGTAGATCGGCACACAGTAAATTAATCATATCAATTAATGGACTTGGGAATCCATAACATTTCATTACAGACCATCAATATTCACGTGAAACATAATTAAAAGCCCTTTTCTCAACAAAATGTAGAAATAAAATTCAGATGTGGATGTAGTAATATCTTTCAGCGTACAGAGGTTGTCCCACATGAAACGCCCTTTGATGGCAAATGTTTGCTCTTTTTCTATTATGGTATCAAGAACCCCATTTAGTCTGTTCATGATTATTTTAGCTAAGATCTTATAGTCTACATTTATTAATGACAGTCAATGGCGTATATTCATGGATGCCAAGGGATGTGCCAAAAAATAATAAATCAATGTATCCTTCGTTTCTCTGTGTTTCATCATTTTCCTTCAGTTCGCAAGAGGCTGAATGTATCTCACCGGGGAAAGTATCAGAGCGAGCAAAACAGCGACCCTCTTGTCTCTGTCTGTGTAGCCCATCTATCTGATGCTGTCTGGTAAAAAAAGAGTGTGACATTGTTGCCGCCCGTAGCATTGAATGCAACTGAAGCCAGCGAGCATCGTTGAGGGAAACAGTGAGCTCAACTGTGAATGGTCCTGGTTCACCAAAAAAAAGTGTGAAGGTAAGCCAGTTTGGATTTGGCTTCACACTAATCACATCACATGAAAAGCCAAACCTCATTGACAGAAAAAAACTTGAATTGTTGCATCTCTGTGTTGTTGTCCTCTGGTGGGTAGCTAGCTAGCAACTTTTTTTCCTAATTCCATTATTTTACTTTTAGATTTGTGTGTATTGTTAGATATTACTGCACTGTTGGAGCTAGGAACACAAGCATTTCACTAGACCCGCAATAACATCTGCTAAACATGTGTAATGCGACCAATAACATTTGATTTGATTGATTTGATTCTCTGTACAGGCCAATGATTATAATGGTGATTCTGATCCAACCATAAGTTCATACATTGTTCCCCTGGCCTGAGAGCATGGAAGTTCAATATGTACAGTACCAGTCAAAAGTTTGGACACACCTACTCATTCCAGGATTTCTTTATTTTTACTATTTTCTACATTGTAGAATAATAGTGAAGACATCAAAACTATGAAATAACACATATGGAATCATGTAGTAACCAAAAAAGTGTTAAACGAATCAAAATATATTATTCTACAATGTAGAAAATCGTATAAAATAAAGAAAAACCCTTGAATGAGTAGGTGTGTCCAAACTTTTGACTGGTACTGTAGCTATATGTAGTAGGCTAATGTTAACTAGCTGGCTCATCGTTGCACATGAAAGAAAATTAGACTAGCGAGCAAGCATTCTAGCCAGGTAGCCGCCCTAGGACAACAAAAACTAAAAGCGTGTACTGTATGACAGAGTCATAGACTGTTTCGGCAACATGACAGAGAGAGGATAGCATTGGCGATTCTCTACAAGTAGTGTGAGTCAACATGTTTTTTTCTACTTAGGCGCGCGCACACACACACACACACACACACACACACACACACACACACAAATCAGTACAATGGACAGCCACATGATATTTAGCTTACGTTGATTGGACTAAATTGTTTTTGGTATCTTTTAGTTGTCGCTGTATTAGACTAAGCATAGGTGATTTGATCATGTTGAAATGGTGCTGGAATAGTGGAGGCAGCTCCTATTTTCTTTGAGAGTTGCGGTAACTCTCAAGTGTTCTAAATCAATAGTTGTTAGTAGTCCGAAAATGTCGGAAACATTAACTTGATTGACCATGCTGTAGGTCATATTACTCTTTGTTACATGCAATATGCTTTGTGGACTCCTCCAAATAGATGTTGTTCTCCGGTTTTGTGATGAAACTAAGGTGGTGTTCAATTTATTCTGCCACTGTGTCTTCTTATTGTCTCGGCCTTAGGCCTATATATCACGGTGGCAAGGCATATGAACTAACAGGTTATCAAGCAAACAAAGCAATTATCACAACACATAGGTTGTTTAATGTGGCCCAGGCCAGCGCACTTCCAACTTTATGACAATCTCTGACCTTGATGGCCCAGACCGTGATAGCTGTAACAGCGCAGGGTCTGACCATGATAACTGATTTTTCCATTGTAGGGACCCAGCAAGATGGAGTTAGGGATCTGTACTGGAGGTCCGTTGATCTTACTTAGACATACTTTGTACCTTCTGACCCTGTACCAGATCCCGAACTTGTCTAGTGGCTTGGAGACAGGCTGTAGGATTTCACAGTACTGGTTTATGCCTCGATCATACCTACAATGATTTTGCGTTTTGGTACACCAGAAGTAGAATAACGCTTCGATCACACCAACAGTGTTATTGCGTAGAATGGTATGCAGCATCATCTGGATATGTGTGCAACAAATGTTCAACCATTTCTTTCAAGTGGTCTACGCATACTGTTTGACGCATATGTTGGATCAATAAATCCAACCTAGGACGCACTGCAACTGACTCTGCAAGGCAATGCTGTAAGGCAAACGCAGCGTTCCATTGGAAATGAATGTACTTGTGGTGTACCAAAATGCATAACACTGTCGGTGTGATCGAGGCATAATTTCCAATGGAATGCTGTGTTTGCCTTGCAGCATTGCCTTGCAGAGGCAGTTGCAGTGTGTTCTGTGTGGTGCATAGGCTGGATAAATCGATGTATGCATCAAATTGTATGCGTAGACAGCTTGACAGAAGGGTAGCAGAAGGTGAATGTAGAAATGTTGTTGCACATCAATTTAGATCCAGACGATATTGCTACCATTTTGCGCATTGACGCAGTAGGGAAGAGCTCCACATCATGGTCCGGAATTCTTCCGGTACAGAATTTAAGGAAAATGAGGACCCAGTCTTTCCACTTTGGATGTGAGAAGTGGGTGGACTGGATCTCCAGGAAAAGACGGAGTATTGCTCTGATCCATATCTCATCATATAACCTACCAGTGGCGGTTAGTGCTGTTTAAGATGAGGGAGGACGATATTATTTTTCATGAGCATGGCCTTATTTCTATTACACCATATTCCATTCACCCAGTTCAATGTAACAGTGATAGGTTTAGGCTACTACATGATACTCGAATGTTCCCTATACCCATTATGAGGTTGCTACAACTTAACCTATGAATAAAAGTTTACAATGTAGGTGCACAGAGGTGTAGAGAAAAATTTGAGGGACAGACAGTGACAGACACTCTTGCCTGCATCTAGCTGATATAGGGTGTAATCATTAGTCCAACAGTTGCAAACAATAGTTTCTATTGGATACATTCAGGTATGTTTATCGGCGTTTTGTTCCGTTGGCTTTAAAAAAAAAGTTTTTCAACAGAATCGGCGGAATGAATACACCCCTGATCACACGTAAAGACAGTTCACTTTCATAACAGTCACGTTTTATTCCTTCTCGCATCTATGCGCTCTCCTCCTCTCACCTTTTCCCCTCACTTGTGGACTTCAATGCACAACACATCAGCTGTATGTGACCAGGCGAAAAAACCTTTCTAAGCCCAACCATATCATAACTTCTACACACAGCCTACATCGTTGTCACCATATTAGCTATGGTAAAGACATAGTCAACATAACTAATATAACTAACGCGTTAGTAAACCCGCTACAATCAGTAAGCAGTTTAGCACCTACACCGGCGGGCTCCGGTGTCAATAAATTTGTCAAACCAAACTTACCTGAACTTAACTTGGAAGAGTTCCAGTGTTGTGTTGGATAGTCATAGCCAGCTAGCTAACATAACATCCCCCTGTTTGAGCAGGGTGTTTGAGTAGGCTAAACCAGCTAGCTGCATTTGCTAGCTAAGTAAGTGAGAGAAAAAAAATGACAGAAGCTCTCTCGCTTCTCCTTCATTTAGGAAGAAATTAATTTGTTTTAAAATGTTCAACTATTATCTTTCTCTCTATTTGAGTCAACTACTCACCACATTTTATGCACTGCAGTGCTAGCTAACTGTAGCTTATGCTTTCAGTACTAGATTCATTCTCTGATCCTTTGATTGGGTGGACAACATGTCAGTTCATGCTGTAAGAGCTCTGATAGGTTGGAGGACGTCCTTCGGAAGTTGTAATAATGACTGTGTAAGTCTATGAAAGGGGGTGAGAACCATGAGCCTCCTAGGTTTTGTATTGAAGTCAATGTACCCAGAGGAGGACGGAAGCTAGCTGTCCTCCGGCTACAACATGGTGCTACCCTACAGAATGTTGTTGAGGCTACTGTAGACCTTCATTGCAAAATAGTGTGTTTTAATCAATTATTTGGTGACGTGATTATATTTAGTATAGTTTTATCTAAAAAGGATAACTTTTTTAAATGTTTTAAAATATATATTTTTATGAAATTCACTGAGGATGGTCCTCCCCTTCCTCCGCTGAGGAGTCTCCACTGTAACTTCATTCACTTTATCAGCAAACTGTTGTATAATGTTATGAATGCCCATCCAGTGGTAGCCTAGCATTTGTAAAACTGGCAGTTGCATTGGCTTTATTAGTCCTGATTTCTGACAAAGGCTTATTAATGCTGCATTCATAGCCAAGTGGGAAGGTGGAAATGACCAGTGGTGAAGTTGAAATACCAGTTGGATGCATTCACGTACTTTCCATTACAGTACATTACATTTACGTCATTTAGCAGACGCTCTTATCCAGAGCGACTTATTAGTAATTACTAGTTGGAGAGGAGGGGTGTTCATAACGCATGTTTTTTTTATGTGCACTATGTCATCACGCACAGCATTGTAGCCGCAACAAGTACGTTTGATGGAAACACACCTCTGGTGGCAAATTGCGCATCTTTTTTTATGCCTATTTTAGAATATTCACATGAAAATCTGACCCCAATTGGATGGAAACCTAGCTATTGACATATCAGCTAAGGCTACTCATGTAGTCCTATTTACACAACAATTTCAGGGAGTATTGTGGCCATTCTTTTTCAGTTTGTTTCATACAGGAAGCGGGGAAATATTGGTGACCAACTACAAACATTCTTTTTATTCATACATTTAAATTGAAGAATAGATATTTGACATAGGTGACAATGGTTAACAGTCAAAAACCATCTCAGAAGATGTTCAAGTGGTAGAGAATGTGGGCATGAAGCGGTGTGTCTTTTTTCAGGCAAGCCAAGTGATAGAAAAGTGGTGCTTGCTATTCAAGGATTCCCACAAAAGTAAATTAATATTATTACCCATTAAACATTTTGATGTTGTTGCTTTTCCCTCACGATGGCAATGGTTGAGCACAAGAGAACCACACCGATAAATACTGTCTTGATGATTTCCTCTTTAAAAACCACACTTGTGCAGTTATACTAATACCCAACATTGCAGAGCCTATTTCTAAAATATGGGCTAAACAGGCTTTGATATGATCGTTTTTCTTCCGTTTGGTGCCTAATGAACACAACCCAGATAGACATATTCCAGAATTTTTTTCTTGAAGATTTAACTATGACAACCTAGACTGGCATAGGGTATGATATTGTAAGTGTAATTGTTTAAAATAAAATCTTGGGTATTAGGTACTAAGACAATGTCCTTCAATATTGAAATCGTAACCAGCATCCTGAAAACACACCCTTACAATTGGGGTAATAGTTCAGTTGTTTTGATGGGAAATACAGTACTATTCTTTGCAGCAACAGAGTAAGTGCTGTAGATTCACACAGAGAAGAGGAAAAAGTGCCGGCGTCAGCCTTCCAGATTAACCTTGTGATGTTCAAAAGTAATTCCTTAACCTACAGAATGATAGGGCAGTACTGTACCTAGACCAGTGGTGGTACCCTGTCAGAGTACAAGGACAAGTCAGTGTATCAGCCCATTGTAGCACAGCACAGAAGCGTAGCACACTCAAGCTACATGGCAGAGTCAGCCCAGAGTCATGATGTACACGTATGTGAATCTGACAGATGCTTGATTTTGAGGGTAATGCTTTGTTTGTGTGTATCTGTGCGTAATTGAGTATATATTTATTTAACTGTAGCATTATCAGTAAATAGATACTGTTATCATTTGGCACATTTCCCCCCAGAAATGAAAAAAAAAAAATATGATTACCCTAATGACAGCAACTGGTATTGTAGAGTTATCATTCATTAGCCAACATAATAAAAATATCAACATTAGGATGCACAGAGGGCTTAAAAGAGAATACATTCATAAGAAAAACAAAATATCAAAACCTCTTTTCAGTTCACATACGTACAACCGTTATGTGCACACACTACAAGTGTCTGATTGAAATGTGAAGCTGTAGCCCCAGCAACGTGTGGATATGTCAAGCCAAGCAACTCTTGCAGAGAAAGAAAAGAAAATACAAATATACAAAAATGGATACAAAGTAAAATGGCGGTACCACACGTCAATCCTCTGTAACACCATTGTAAGTGTGTGTGTGCATATTCTTACAAGGTTTATAAAAAAAAAATAATGTATCATTGCTGTGAAATGGCAGTAATAAATAGGGGTGGCAGTCTGTTGGCAAGGCGTCAGTGATCCCCTGGCGTGTGTGCATTTAAATGTGTGTCTCGGTAAAGCAGTCTATTGATATGTGGGCGGGTCAATCGTCCTTTGAGTGATGATGGGCGTCCAGGTTGACCACTTGAAGCTCTGTGAGATTGCTGCTGCTGCTTGACTGCTGACCAATCACCATCTACAGGTCAAAAGGAGAGGGGATTAGGTGACAGTAATGTTGAGGTGACAGTAGTGTTTAGGTGACAGTAATGACAGTAGAGTTGTGGTGACAGAGGGACATGGGTATCATTACCGGGTGGATCTGCACTGCTGACACAGGGATCTGAACTGTCCCAGGATGTCCTGTGAGGAACACCTGCGATACAGCACCTAGTTGGGAGGAGTGGAAAAAAAGTCAAATAAATGAATCGCACACATAAAACGAGCCAGTAGGTTTGGCCGATATTACGATAGTATCGTCTATCGAGGATGATTGACAGCCATCGTCGATAGTGACAACATCATGATATGACAGACGAGACTAAGCTATTTCAACGTGACTGCATGCCGCTCTGCAGTAAAGAGCAGTCAGGCAGCACACAGCAGGGTAGTGCATGGGTGATATTGAGAAAATGGCCTATATTCCTATTTGCTATAGCCTATTTCAATAAATGTTATATTTACAGAATGTAAGAGAATAATGTAGACAGAGCTAAGAGTTTTTTCTCTCTCAAACTCTCAAATGTCAGATGATCTGGACCAAAATCCGAAGTCTATTTTCATAGGATCGGACACTCTGGTGTCTTATTGTTTTAATGGCCCAATTATATATTTTCTTTCCATTTGATAGGAATAGGACTTGGCCTATTAACCACTCTTTCAGTTTAATGCATGCTGATTTCTCCCGCCGTGCTAGTTGTTTTTGAATAACCTAAAAACAAATGGGGAGAAAAAATATTTGATTCCAACTAGCTAGCGCTAGTCGGCTGTACCTAAACTCTGGTATTTGTCATCCTATAGCTGACTGATCAAAACTAGTTGTTTTCTCATGCCCTCTCGTCTCTCTACAGCTGACATAGATTGAGTATACCAAACATTAGGAACACCTTCCTAATATTGAGTTGCAGCCCCCCCTTTTGCCCTCAGAACAGCCTCAATTTGCGGGGCATGGACTCTACATTTGACATTTTAGTCATTTAGCAGACGCTCTTATCCAGAGCGACTTACAGTTAGTGAGTACATAAAAAAATAATGTATTTTTCATACTGGCCCCCCGTGGGAATCGAACCCACAACCCTGACGTTGCAAACACCATGCTCTACCAACTGAGCTACATCCCTGCCGGCCATTCCCTCCCCTACCCTGGACGACGCTGGGCCAATTATGCGCCGCCCCATGGGTCTCCCGGTCGCGGCCGGCTACGACAGAGCCTGGATTCGAACCAGGATCTCTAGTGGCACAGCCTTAGACCACTGCGCCACTCGGGAGTCTCTACAAGGTGGACAATTGCGTGCTATGAATATGGGACCAAATACTTAAATTTTTACTACTTTAATACACATAAGTGAAATTGTCCCAATACTTTTTGGTCCCCCAAAATGGGGGGGACAATGTACAAAAAGTGCTGTAATTTCTAAACGGTTCACCCAATATGGATGAAAATACCCTCAAATTATTACGGACAGTCTGCATTTTAACCTCATTGTATCATTTCAAATCCAAATGCTGGAGTACAGCCAAAACAACAAAAAAGTTGTCACTGTACCAATACTTTGAGCTCAGTGTATATCAGCGCCCTGTTAGGCCAGTTGTGGCATCTGGACTCTGATTGGCTCACCGGGGTCATGGGACTGCGTATGGGCTGTCTGTGGGAAGGTGTTGAGCACGGTCAGACTGCCGTCGCCCAACGAGGTCGTAGGTGTGGCGTACATGACAGTGTGGGCGCCAGGGTACATCATGTGACCACCCATCGTCGAGGGCACCGAAGACGTGACGATAGTGGTGGGGAGGCTCACTGGAGTAGGGAGACAGGACAACAAGGGGGGCATAATCAATATTCTGCAAGGTTCATTCGTACAATTATGAATCGTGACTTCAACATGTTGAACAGGTCATGTTACTACTTCTACACAGTCACAGTGAAACAGAAAACTATGTTAATAAAGGCAACTAAGATTAAAAATAGAGCTTGCATATCACTTGTACTGCAAGTACATGCATATAATTTGACACTTCTCAATGTAACAAATGACCACATACCTATACTGCAGTCAAGCATTTAATACAATTAGTAACCTTTGGTTTTCAGATGGAATACTGCGGTTTGATCTCCCCACCTTAGTGACATTGACATTTCTCAGTTGTAGTGCCTTTCACATTTCTATATCCACCCTTCCAGTGGGATCAACATTATCCACATTTTTGGCATCAAAACTATCCTAATCACACCTTTGAGTTTGGAAAAAATGTCAAAGGAGAAGTTTCCTTTTTTACAACCAAATCTCTATTATAGAAGGAGGTCCAGACACCTTTTTTGTGATTTCAAGTTTTTGAGAAACACACAAAGGGAATATAACATTGCGGATAAAGTTTGGAATGACAATTTCATTTGTACAACATCTAAAGACCTGTATCACTATACTGAGAGCTTTTCCCTTTTCTAAAATGTATTTGGGTGTTTTTGGAGCGTTTGTTCATGTTTTTTCAGGGCCTCCATACTACACAACGAGCACGAAGAAGTGATTTGCTGTTGTTTGGGGCACATTTCTCAAAAACATGTGAAATCACAAAAAAGGTGTATGGACCCTTCTATAACATGCCATTTACATCAAAAATAGAGATTTGGTTGTAAAAAAAGGAAACTTCTCCTTTAATGATTTTAAAGGTATGTATAAGCCCTGGTTGACTGACAGGGAGCTCTGTTTGAAGCCACCAAGCAGCCATTTTGGTACTCTTTGTTTGTTTAAAAAAAAGAAAAAAAAGTGGATCCTTTAGAGATGCATTAATTAAATGTCTACATTCGTTTTTGACAACTATATTCTATTACAGACACCTTAATGCATACTTAAAAATTATATTATGTGAACTGAACATTAAAAAAATATTAAAACCTATTCCTTAACATAATTTTTTAAAGAGTACTAATGTTACAGTCCCCACTACAACAAATAAATACTCAAATATACGTAATTCTGACCTTGAAACATTTAATTGAAATACTGTAGAATTCCATTCATTCCTATGGAGGACTGCACCTTCTGAGGAGTACCAATATGGTGGCCGGTGGCTTCAAAGCCTCTTATTGGTCAATACATAGCATCAGCAATCCAGGGTTTATATATACACATCATTGGTTAATCTTGATTAAAGGTCAGATTGGATTACCAAATCCCAATCCAAATGATCAGAATAATTCGAGTTTTTCTGTTTTGAAATACCAAAATCTAACATTTAATCCAATCCGATTGCCGAAATCCAAATCAGAAAGGTTTTGAAAAACTGGGCCCAATAAATCTGCAAGGATTAGAAAGGTAAGAAAAATGGAGGAAACTCCATCTAACCTATGACAGAGAGGAAGAGGTGAAGCGAGAGGGTTTACTCCCGTCAAAGATAAGCAGACCGCCTGCCTTCCTGCCTTTGGGACGACTCCCTTTGTTAGGGCGGAGACAAGACCATCTCGTCATTATATACAGTATCTCTGCCTATGAGAAGGCAAGGAGAAGCAATTACCATATTGTTAATACCTGTCCAGTCCTTTCAGATCTACAGGAATGCCTAGAGGAAGAGCTAGAGCCTAGAGGTCGATTTCGGATTCACTTGCCACTAAGAAGTAGCACTCATGTCAGTCTCTCTATTTGCCCTCTAGATGGGGCTACTGCTCTTCTACACCAGTCATTCCAGACCCTCCTCCTTCGGATTGGATCCATCAATGAGCCCGTTTCATTATTACATCAACTTACATTTACATTTACATTTAAGTCATTTAGCAGACGCTCTTATCCAGAGCGACTTACAGATAGTGAGTGCATACATTTTTTTTTTTTATACTGGCCCCCATGGGAATCGAACCCACAACCCTGGCGTTGCAAACGCCAACAGACCGCTGCTTGTCGCGTTTGAGAGTGGGGTAAATAGCCTACTAGTCATCATATAGCAATTTAACAATTAACATTAAACTTATTTTTTCTCATAATACTAATAATATTATCGCAGTGCTGTTTACAACCCCCCCCCCCTCCCCCTCAAATCACATTGGCATAATAGTAAAATGGGCTCATAAGCACAGACAGGCTGCAGTGAGAGTGTATGGTTGTTGTTGTTTACCTGTGGAGCTGCTTGTGATGTGGGAGAGGTCACTGTGGCTCACAGAGCTCTGCTGGCTGCTGGGGTGAACCTGAATGGCCTGCAGCTGCTGGCCCATCCCTCCACCTGAGAAAGACGCACATGCACACACACCTAGAGTGAGAATATTCATTTTAAATTCAACTATTCTCGCACACTCATTATAGAGCCCAAGTTTGCATGTTACCTCTGCTAGGTACATAACTACAGTTCGGTGGTAAATATGAACGGGTTAGTTATGAGTGTGTACCGGTTAAGTGGTGTGGACAAGGCTGAGCAAGGGTTAACTGACCTACAGAAAAGCAACACAGAATCCCCCTCTATACAACTGTCAGATATGCTATTTAACACAAAAAGGTGTTCCATTTTCAGCCGTTGTGATTTTACAAATGAAGTACTTTTGGATATTACTACTGACAATTTTAAAGAATGTGCACAGCTGTTAGCCTACTTTCACTACAGTTCATGAAGATGAACACCAAGTGAGATATAAAACTGACACAAGCAATGTTCCCTCTAAGCAGCGCGCATCCGTGCAGTAGCCCCGGGACTGCTGCGCAGAAGAAATATCAGCCCACTGAGAGAAGCACGAGATTAAACTTCACTCAACTTTCTAGAGTTTTCCCTGTTAACACTATCAATGTTTCCCTTTACTGTGGCAATTGGGATCGAATCAACGCAATATTAGCCACCTTCAATGCAACATACCGAAACAAAAACTATGCAAGTCTTAGTATGCAAAACTAACTATGCAAGAGATTTTGTTGTAGGCAGAACGCATCAGAGTAGGATTCTATTGCACTGACACACATGACTCAGCCCGTACTCTACACAGACCGGTGTGGCATATCCAATCAGAGCTGCAGTATGCCTATGCGCAAATAGACCATTGCCATTCAAAATATGAATCTGTGCCATTTACTTTAAACTGGACTGTGTTTACAGCATGAGCGGTCGTGAGTAGATGCGCTTGTTTTGAGATCAAAGCGAGAGCTGCATGTAGCCACATTTGTTCATATCCTTTGCTAGTTAGTGAGTTATTAGCCCAGTTATAGATAATTTGTAGTCAGCAATGGGGGAGTGATTGCTTCCTACAAGAGCACAAAACATGTACATTTCTAGACATCTTCTTAAAAAGGGGTAGTGTTGTATTTTGAGACTGGCTTGAATTTTATAGGATGCATTTTCTCCATTGTTTTTGATGGTAGGCCCTCTGGTAGGCCTACATTATGATCAAATAGCCACAGTCGCCTACATGGCCACTGTTAAAACTAACTTAAAGCGACTACAGCCTCAGTGTTCACAGTAAACGCGCACTGGAAGTTGCACAGAATTCTCACAAATGCAAGTACCGAAAAATATGTAAGGATACATTGGACACAAGTGTGGTACTTTTTCAACTCCCACTTTTTTCCATCCGCTAAGACAACTGATAAAACTCTGGGGGTTATTTTTAACCCTGCTCAAAAATTACTTGGGGCGTCGGCTTGCATATGTGGACAAAGCCATCTTTCCTTTTCTTGTGATAACAGCAGTTAGAGCTCTGCTACACACAATCAGTAACAGCCTTAATGCGCGTCCCCCCCCCCTCACACACACACACACACACACACATTCAGTAACACTCCTATAATATAGCTCCCGTTTATCCTTCCATGAGTCTTTATCCATCCTCATTGCCTCCCTTTGTCCCGTCAACAAATGAGCCCTCTCCTGTGACTGCTTGCAAGCAGAGCACCATATTCAAACCTCATAAGAGTTCATTCAAACATGCTTTCTCACTGCATTGTAAATGTCAGTATTTTTGCGACGCAAAGAGATGGACTAAAGTCCAGGAAGAGACACTGACGCAGGCTCAGACAAATATGCAGAGAGAAAGACCGAGATGCATAGAGAGACAGTGAGGTAAACCTAGAAAAGGACGCTAACAGACAGGCATAGAGATATTGGGAGATACAGTTTTGAACAGCGACAAGAGGTAGCTACAGAGAAATTACTGGGATCCTAGATGCAAACAAACTGGGCTCAATTTGGAGACAGACAACACAAACTTAGACAGTGAGAGATGCATGCAGACAGAGGGAGACAGACCCTAAATCAACCCCTTGGTGTAGATCGGAGAGGATTGGATGTGTGTAAGCAAAATAGTGGTAGCGCCATCATGCCCTCTAATATGTAAGGCAGAATCGTCTAAAAAGTAACACAATTGGTTATTCTGTACACTAAAGAAGGCTGCGGCCGTACAGAGAATAAATTCATCATTGAAGATGATTTATGTTGTGCAGACCATTTCTTTCATTAAGGCATATTGCCTGCCAAGAGTGTAGGATCTAGGGGTTGATTTGCAATTCAGGGAGAGTTGATGCTCGGAAGTATCGTGGCAAGGAAACAAAAACATGACGCGGTGGGGTGAAGAAGCCCCTGACCTGTGAGCGAGACAGTTGCGGGTAGGCGGAGCAGGGTGGTCTGCTGGCCCTGCTGTGTGTGCCCTGCGGTAGCGGTGGTGATGCTGGTCTGGGCCAAGGTGCCCTGGAGGGCCTGCAGCTGACTGAGCGGAATGGTGTGCATGCCAGGGGGAAGCGTTGTGCCTAGAGGGCACGCAGAGAAGATTAGCGGTGCACAGGTCTCACGCAGCGGAACCGGCGCATAGACCAAGAAAACACAAAGACAACACAGCGAGAAAGACAAAAGATAAGATGGAGGGAAAACGGACACAGCCACACAAACAAAAACAGCCACAGATAAAACACAGCATCACTGACAAAACATCCTCAAACACATGTCAGACAAAACATAGCCTCAGACAAAATACAGACAGCTTCACATTTAAAAAAATACAGCTTCACAGAAAATAATACAGCCACAGACAAAAGAGACTCACAAACACAAAGTCACAGACAAAACACACTCAGGCAAAACACAGCCATACAGACAAAACAGACAAACCACATGCAGAAACACACAGCCAAAAGGCCCCAGAGAAAAACATTTTTATTGGGGTGCAATATTCTCAAAACCAATTTTTTTGTAATGACAATTCTGAAGCAAGGGAAAAATTCAGGGGGGTGAATAGAAGTAAATAAAATTGGGTGTGACACGGATGAAAATCAAGCCAATAAGGTGTGTAATAAAAGGGGGTAAATGATGAGGCAAAGAAAGTGAGATATCTAAATAAATAAAAAACAGGAGACCCCTCACTCACCGGACATGAGGGTGAACCCTCCGGGTAGCATGACACTCGTTGACGTGGCCGAGGTCTTCAGCACCGTGCCGTTGGCACTGCTGGTGGCACTGTGAGTATTGACGCCCGCCGAGACCTGCCAGCAGGTGGCAGGGATGCTGTTCTGCAAGTGCATGGCCACGGAGGAGGAGGAGGAGGAAGTGGAGGACGAGGACGTCGACGTGGGTTGGGTGTTGACACTGGCAGGCAGATTGGCCATGGTGAACGTCGGCTTCATCATGTCCAGAGAAATGGAGAAAGCAGGAGAGATATATTTATGATATTGATCTGTTATCAGTGCATTTGGAGAGAATCTATATATGTATGTCTGTATGGCTGTGTTATGATATGTAGATAAGGGGATGTACCAACCAAATGTATTTAAGTTCTCTCATGCCGAGAAACTTTCAGAAAAATAATGCACTCTGTCCATCTCAGTCAGCACACTCAGTTTTTTAGATTCGACAAGTTGCTGATACACATCGAGGATTCCATCGAAGGGCTAAGCTTCAACTCCTGGACACAAGTAGTTTGTGAGCAATCTGGTGTGCTAACTATCTTCATGAAAATCAAGCAAAGCAGATGAGTCTGGGGATGGGAGGGGAGAGACAGCGATGACGAGATGATTCAATTTTCCATTTTGAACGAACAATGCTGGGAAATAACTAACTTAAAGCGACTACAGCCTCAGTGTTCACAGTAAACGCGCACTGGAAGTTGCACAGAATTCTCACAAAATGCAAGTACCGAAAAATATGTAAGGATACATGGACACAAGTGTGGTACTTTTTCAATCCCACTTTTTCCATCCGCTAAGACAACTGATAAACTCTGGGGTTATTTTTAACCCTGCTCAAAAATTACTTGGGCGTCGGCTGCATATGTGGACAAAGCCATCTTTCCCTTTTCTTGTGATAACAGCAGTTAGAGCTCTGCTACACACAATCAGTAACAGCCTTAATGCGCGTCCCCCCCCACACACACACATTCAGTAACAAACACTGACCAGTGAACAGACTGAAATATCCGCTCTCCTATATTCGTGTCCCTATCTACACACTGACTTTCTTACTCCTCCCACTCCACTTCCTATAATATAGCTCCCGTTTACCCTTCCATGAGTCTTTATCCATCCTCATTGCCTCCCTTTGTCCCGTCAACAAATGAGCCCTCTCCTGTGACTGCTTGCAAGCAGAGCACCATACTCATAAGAGTTCATTCAAACATGCTTTCTCACTGCATTGTAAATGTCAGTATTTTTGCGACGCAAAGAGATGGACTAAAGTCCAGGAAGAGACACTGACGCAGGCTCAGACAAATATGCAGAGAGAAAGACCGAGATGCATAGAGAGACAGTGAGGTAAAGGGAAACCTAGAAAAGGACGCTAACAGACAGGCATAGAGATATTGGGAGATACAGTTTTGAACAGCGACAAGAGGTAGCTACAGAGAAATTACTGGGATCCTAGATGCAAACAAACTGGGCTCAATTTGGAGACCGACAACACAAACTTAGACAGTGAGGATGCATGCAGACAGAGGGAGACAGACCCTAAATCAACCCCTTGGTGTAGATCGGAGAGGATTGGATGTGTGTAAGCAAAATAGTGGTAGCGCCATCATGCCCTCTAATATGTAAGGCAGAATCGTCTAAAAAGTAACACAATTGGTTATTCTGTACACTAAAGAAGGCTGCGGCCGTACAGAGAATAAATTCATCATTGAAGATGATTTTGTTGTGCAGACCATTTCTTTCATTAAGGCATTATTGCCTGCCAAGAGTGTGGATTCTAGGGGTTGATTTGCAATTCAGGGAGAGTTGATGCTCGGAAGTATCGTGGCAAGGAAACAAAAACATGACGCGGGGGGTGGGGGTGAAGAAGCACCTGACCTGTGAGAGAGACAAGTTGCGGGTAGGCGGAGCAGGGTGGTCTGCTGGCCCTGCTGTGTTGTGCCCTGCGGGGTCGCGGTGGTGGGTGTGATGCTGGTCTGGGCCAAGGTGCCCTGGAGGGCCTGACAGATAGACTGAGCGGAATGGTGTGCATGCCCAGGGGGAAGCGTTGTGCCTAGAGGGCACGCAGAGAAGATTAGCGGTGCACAGGTCTCACGCAGCGGAACCGGCCGCATAGACCAAGAAAACACCAAAGACAACACAGCGAGAAAGACAAAAGATAAGATGCCAAAGAAAATATAGTTCAATATGCTCATGTAGCTCGCCAAGAGCAAAGCCAAATAGCCTACACGGTTGGCTTGCTTGCTTTGGTGGCAATTGTCAAGTAAAAAAATATACTGTCTGTAAAATGTACAGTACCAGTCAAAAGTTTGGACACACCTACTCATTCAAGGGTTTTTCTTTATTTTTACTATTTTCTACATTGTAGAATAATAGTGAAGACATCAAAACAATGAAATAACACATATGGAATCATGTAGTAACCAAAAAAGTGTTAAACAAATCAAAATATATTTTAGATTTTAGATTCTTCAAAGTAACCACCCTTTGCCTTTGACAGCTTTGCACTCTTATTTTTTACCAAATAACTTACCTGGACCACCTATTAAGCCTTTTGTTAAAGATGCACTATGCAGAAATCGCACCGGCATTTCCTGGTAGATACAATTTTAAGTTAGCCTAATTTCAGTTTCTGTGACAAAACAAGCAAGTATAGTGTAGAGCAGGTGTGTCAAACTCACTCCATGGAGGGCCTAGTGTCTGCAGGTTTTTGTTTTTTTCCTTTAAATTAAGCCCTAGACAACCAGGTGGGAAGTTCCTTACTAATTAGTTACCTTAATTCATCAATCAATTCCAAGGGAGGAGTGAAAACCCGCAGCCCTCTGTGGAATGAGTTTGACACCTGTGGTGTAGAGAATCATTGTACCATCTAAACCGCTGTGAAATATATTTTCCATAACCAAAAATATTGTATTTTTCAGCTGGTGTACAAAACTGAAAGTAAAAGACGCAAAAACGAAACTGAGTACAGCAAGCATAGAAATAGCACATATAAAACAGATCTACCACTTCTTAGACTTGCATTCAATGAGAATGACAGATCTATAAAACACACATTTCTATGTGAATTTGGCCGGCTCGCCCAAAAGTGACATATTGCAGCTTGAAGTAAATCAGGTGCTAAATGAGATGAAAAGGAGACTGGAGTGCCACTTTAATAGTTGCCATGTACTTTCTGAGCTTGCATTGGTGTATTCACCGTCAACTACGTTGTTTACGTGTGTCCTGTTTATAGCGCAGCGGATAGAAAATGCACAGATGTGTGCCGCAGTTCTACTAGGATGTGGCAGTTTGGCTTAGTTTAAAGCTTGTCAATGAATATCCAATAAACAAAAACGGCAACAAAAGATCATTTAAAGGGGAAACTTGTACAGCGACATTTGGGCAGTAGGTTGGCTACTACTCAACTGCAGGAAATGTCAAGTGTGCCGACAGCAATGCTGCATTCAGCTGCACGTTTGTTCCTGGAGCGCTAAAAATGAACGTTTGAAGCGCTTATAGAATGCCAAGAGTGTGCAAAGCTGTCATCAAGGCAAAGGGTGGCTATTTGAAGAATCTCAAATATATTTTGATTTGTTTAACACCTTTTTGGTTACTACATGATTCCATGTGTTATTTCATAGTTTTGATGTCTTCACTATTATTCTACAATGTAGAAAATAGTAAAAAAATATAGAAAAACCCTTGAATGAGTAGGTGTGTCCAAACTTTGACTGGTAGTGTAATTGGCGAAAAGAAACCGACTCAACTAACCGCATTCAGTGTCTTGTATTCATCATCATGCATTCTAGTCTAGGGCACTTGGTTTCCTTTTTTCTTTCTAGAGGACATCTACATTAGCCTATTTGAACAAGTTCTCCCTCTCAGCATAAGTCCATTTCCTCCTCCATAAACATTTGCTGAACGAGTCTCTTTCAAAAGAGAGGGGACAAAATGAGTGAACAAACACCTCGGGGGCCCCGTGGCTCACCCCCATGCAACGAGCTCACAGCCTGTCTCTTTACTGAGAGTAAAGCAAACAATGAAAAACGAGGTTACGTGGGTTATGCCCTACTAAGTTTGATTTGGATTGCCTTGTTCCTTGTTATGACACTGACTGTGGGCGTCTGTCTGGCTGTAGTCTGAGTCTAGAACCCAAGCCCAGCCCACTTTTGCTCCTGAATAGCATCCCTGTCCATCTGTATTATTGTTCCTGACAACAGCTTCCTTGCACCAGCGTGCGGCTCTACCTCGTCTGTACTCTGTCTTTCTATCAGTGCTTTGCACAACACCACAACTGAGAGGTGACTAGTCAGACAGACACCCCTTTAACCACCTTTAAATAGCAACTTCCTCTCCACAGAGTGAGCAGTGAGGATTCCTCCCACCACGTCAGCTGTGAGCCGAAGTAGTACCGTGGTTCATCACCAACAACCAAATATTAACGTGAACTTGTGTAGCTCACGCTATAATTCCAAAGTGAAAGTGTAGGCCTGTGCCGGGTGAATGAGCCAACTACATGACCATCCGAGGAAGCTACCATTTATTCCCCTCTGCATTAAGCCAGGTGAGAGATGAAACTTTGACCTCAAGTGGTTGACAATAAAGCTCAAGACTAACCCAACGAGGACCTTTTTATTTACTCAAGCATAAGATTTAGCCTCGGGTAGGCGTACGTCGCTGAACCTCCTCACATAGAGCTCACCACGTTTCCTTGAAAATCACGGTCTCCAACCAACGCTGAAAACAGCTGCAGCTTATATGGAATGCAATCAGCCCTCTGCCAAGAGGGAAACTAGAGGAAACCATCCCATATATGGACAAAGAGGCCGAATCTTATTTTTATCAATCTACTGTGAAGCATTTCAGATGTGTTTGTGGATCATATGCTCACAAATAATAGTGAAGTCTAAGGAGACTTAACAGTTAACCCATTGGTCAGCTTTGGTTAAAGGACCCCTGTAGCGATGTCAACCGTTTAAGCCGAATTATGTCCTGTGATGCTGCACTATGACTTTGGTCCAGAAACAAATCTTTATTTTTATTTTTTTTGTGGCTACAGTTTTTTTTCTCCCAGACTTTTTACCAGAATAAGGAGGTGAAAAGTAAAGGTGTTGGCTGTCATAATCTCAGACAATGATTCTAACACTGTCTGAGATTATGACAGCCAACACCTTTGCTTTTCAAGGGATGATGAATGCTACAACAGGTTAAGACATTCTACACGACTTTTCTTTCCAGCAGTGCATAGTAATCTAGCAAACCTCTTCGGTACCGAGGTCTGTGCCAATTTCCCAACAGAAGAAAGAATTAACAGAGCAACAATATACCTCTTCCACATTCTGAAATACTACTACTACTACTACTACTACTATTATGCACAGTAGGCCAAATAAAGTGTGATATCAACATGTTTGTTGAACTAGGAGTTCGAAAAACACCTCCATGCAACTGCTATGCTAAAATCATAATCTAATACAGCATTAGGCAACTCGATGCGTGGTAACCCAGGTTCTCTGAAGCAGCTATCGGTTGCGTTAATCCCAGGAGACTGTCTAACCACCTCACCTTGGTGGCCTCCGTGCAGCCGTCACCCTCCGACACCTGGTAGGTGAGGTCCGTCTCCTCGAAGCCTGTGGCGCTCATGCGCTGGTCGGTGGACGGGTCGTTGCGGGGTGGCGAGTCGGGCGAGTTGAGGCACGTCTGGATGAGCGCCTTGCCCGTCTCGCTGGTGATCATGGGCTGGAGCTTGCGCGTGGCAAAGGTGTAGACGTGGCCTGTCTCGCTGGCCACCAGGAGGAGGACCTGGGTGCCCGTTAGAGTGGAGAGCTCGTAGGCCTTGCAATGTAAAAAAATAAAAAAAAAATAAAGAAAAACCCTTGAATGAGTAGGTGTGTCCAAACTTTTGACTGGTAGTGTATTTGGCGGAAAAAAAACGACTCAACTGACCGCATTCAGTGTCTTGTATCATCATCGTGCATTCTAGTCTAGGGCACTTGGTTGCTTTTTTTTCTAGAGGACATCTACATAGCTATTTGAACAAGTTATCCCTCTCAGCATAAGTCCATTTCCTCCTCCATAAACATTTTTGAACGAGTCTCTTTCAAAAGAGGGACAAAATAGTAAACAAACACCTCGGGGGCCCCGCGGCTCACCTCCACGCAACGTGCTCACAGCCTGTCTCTTTACTGAGAGTAAAGCAAACAATGAAAAACTAGGTTACGAGGGTTATGCCCTACTAAGTTTGATTTGGATGGCCTTGTCCTTGTTATGACACTGACTGTCTGGCTGTAGTCTGATTGATTGAGTCAGAACCCCAGCCCACCCCACTGTTGCGGGGGGTGGCGAGTCGGGCGAGTTGAGGCACGTCTGGATGAGCGCCTTGCCCGTCTCGCTGGTGATCATGGGCTGGAGCTTGCGCGTGGCAAAGGTGTAGACGTGGCCTGTCTCGCTGGCCACCAGGAGGAGGACCTGGGTGCCCGTTAGAGTGGAGAGCTCGTAGGCCTTGGGGAGTGGGAAGAGGGATGAGAGAGCGTCAGGCATCAAATCAAGCTTCATGTAGCCCTTTCCACTCACAGCCCGTCCTCCTGTGTACGGGTTGAAAATGGCAGAGTTTGTCATTGACAAGTGCCTAAATTGGAACGCAGTGGCTGTAGAGTAACATGCTATACATGAGGTCAGAGCTCAGGTTTGCCGCTTTACAACGCTGTATCGGTTTTGACCGATAGCCGTTTTAAACTTGAGCATGTGCGCGACAACAAGATGCCCCCATCCCTTTTGCACATTTGTTGTTGCCGGAGTGAAGGAAATGCTGTAAATTGAAAGGAGTCAATGTGTTCTGAAAGATGAGACGTTGAGGGTTATAATACCGCTTTGATGTCATACAAGCACACCCGTGAGTCCAAATGTGCACTTCACATTTCCCTATTTGGAAACATATAATTTACAGTATCAAGGTTTACGATAGCGAAGTTTGATACACAGTTACAAGGATGACATGCGTTATACCCTGGATTGTCCTGAACAGAATGAGCTTATGTTGTCGTATTGTGAAGAAAATTAGACGCGGAACACGCACTTGAATGCACTCATTCTATGTGCATCAAAATTACAATCTTTGTCTGAAGTGCCTTTTGAAAGCCTAAACACTAAGATCGTATTTTATAACACAGCTAGCTAGTTGGAAATATAATAAGATTGCGATATATAAATGGAACGTTTTTGCATTGCGTAAACAACAACAGCAATTGTATGATGGTGGGGACGCAGAGCTTTGTTCAAAACAAAAAAACTACAAGTGTGCTTGCCTCAGTTCCTCAATGGTAAAGCTAGGAGAGCTAAAAAAAAAAGCACCTTATAGGTGAAGGCTCTTTCCTTGAGTCATAAAAGTGCATTGAAATTACTTAGGAACTGTGCACAGTTTGGAGAGGTGTGTGGCCACTTGGAGACCCCAGTTAGACCTCTCACTCAAACCCTTGTAATCGTTTTTTTACTTATCTTGCACCTACTCCAAAATGTAAATGAATATTCTTATTATGTTACTGAATGTACAGTATCCACAGAGTATTTTCAGATTTCGTTATTGACAAATGCTGTGAAAAGTACAGTAAATGTAAAATGCACAAAATCAACAGTGTAATGTTTGGATTCAGTCTTGTGTCCTCAACTTTGGTCTGAAATAACCAAAATGTAATAATTTCCCCATAGCCGCCAGTGTTCTGGTCATGCATATGCTTTTTAATAACTCTTCTGTTAGAAACATTTCAAGTTGGCCCTATCCATATAGGCCAATTTCCAGGAGTGTAAGGAGCTGATGTGCATTTGAAATCGCAACACTTTACAGTAACAATAAAAAGAGAGAACGTGATTGTCACTGTACAAATTAATCATCCATTGATCCATTTTAATGCTATGATACATGTTAGAAATAGTAGGGAGATTCTAATAAATAAACTGCTTAAATCAAGAAAAATCCCATCGGACAGACAATTGTCTGAGTAGACTTCTTTCATTGATGGCGAACAGCACTTGCACACTGATATATGGATATAGGGAGGTCATCAGTTGGGAGCGTCGATGGATATCAACAGGCCTTTGCATGCATCTTTATTAGTAATTAAAATGAATTAAATGTATCAATATATTGTTAAATTTGTGATACAGTATGGCCTACAGTTGCAGTGAATGACAAAATGGATTTAGGATATCGGCCTATAGTGGGGGTTTTCACAGGGTCTCAATGCAGTCATTTGAGACCTCATGAAAAGCGGTATATAAATGCAAAACCATTCATACAAATTTCATGCAAAACGTCATACAACTCATGAGCAACAATTACTGTTCTCTCCCCCTGTAGACAATCACTCATATCTGGCTTCATTGAGCTGCTATTGGAGCTCTACACAGCCCAAATAATTTGCCTAATTTATAATAAATTATTACTTTTTCTCACAAGCTTAATCCCTAAATCAAAATGACAGTACATGGATATTCAATGCAAACATTCTAGAAATGTGCTCTGCCAAAACACACAGAATTCCTTAGCACTGATGCAACATGGTGTGGCAGCAAGCACGTCTTCTAACTAACAAGTATTTATTGATATTGGAGAGAACAAGCAACGTGGTCTCTGGGCTGTAGTCCTACAAAAGGCCAAGAGTGGAGAGAGAGTTAGGATAGAGGTTATTGGGAGAGTAAGAGTTAAATGTTTCTGAACAAGCGCATTAGTTGCTTAGAGCAGTGCAGGGCCACGTTCAGAAGGCAAAACGTTGTGGAACATTGCAAATAGAAATGTCATGAATAGAACTAACATGATTACTTACTCAGCATGTCAGAGGGTCATGTTTGTTCTACACAGGCTATTAGTACCACAACACAGTGCCCTTCTTAACGCAGCCCAGACCAAGCTTCCTTCCACCATGCATAGCCATTTCTTAAAAGCATCTCGGTGAGCACAAGCTGTTGTTTCCAAGGGGAACCCCACAGCCAAGCATAACATTGTGCCTGTGTAGGCAGCAGGGAGCATGGCTGGAACAAGCCCAGGGCTCCCAGGCACTATGGGATAGTAGTAGGAGGGGAGGGGATCTTTTTGGCAGAAGCCATTGGCCAGTTGGCTGTGTATGCTATTCAGTGTATTCAAGCACTTTATGGTGCTCCTAAAACTGGGACGACATCAGAAAGCAACCAGTGTTGATTAGAAAACAAGGCTACAAAAACAGGAAGGGGCAAACGATAGGAAGGAGAATATAGAGTTGAAGAGAGTAGGCCTAGCGCTCCTGTGTCCTCCACTTTGCAGCAACACTTTCTGTAGGTTGTCATTTGTGCAGACACCCACCCACACACACACACCAACCCTGGGCCGTCAGGTAACCTAGTGGTTAAGCGCATTGGGCCAGTAACTGAAAGGACGCTGGTTCGAATCCCTGAGCCAGCATGGTGGGGAAATCTGCCGTTCGCTTTTGAGCAAGGCAATTAACCCCCAACAACTGCTACCTGGGCGCCGATTACGTCGTTTAAGGCAGCTCCCTGCACCTCTCTGATTCAGAGGGGTTGGGTGAAATGTGGAAGACTTTCAGTTGTGCAACTGACTAGGTATACCCTTTCCCATGCAGAAGCGGCATTGCCTCCTCATTGCAGAGTGGAAGGAACCTTGTGGTTGCCTAGGCACCCACACAGTATTGCTCTGCAAGAGGGGGTGTGTGTTGGCAGTGCACCATGGAGGAGCAGTGATAGCTCAAAGCTCAGATTTTGTCGCACATCAAATCAGTGCCTTACTCTACGTTGCAGTCTGCTTTTCCAAGTGAACCAGGGCCTCCTGGGGCGGCAGGTAGCCTAGTGGTTAAGAGCATTGGGCCAGTAACCGAAAGGTCGCTGGTTCGAATCCCAGAGTCAGCAAGGTGGAAAAAGACAACTGCTCCCCGGGCGCCGTGGATGTTGATTAAGGCAGCCACCCGCACCTCTCTGAATCAGAGGGGTTGGGTTAAATGCCTAAGACACATTTCGGTTGAATGCATTCAGTTGTGCAACTGACTAGGTAGCCCCTTTCCTTGCCTATATTTTGTAACAGTGGTTGCCAACTTGTTCTTGCCCCTCCCTGCTGCATACAGCACACCTGGGTACAAAAATCCGTGAAGTACCCCTGCCCTGAGCGGGATTGTTTAACTCCTAAAGGCCTTTGCAGACTCTACGTCGGATTCAGTTTTACGATTATCAGGTCACTGTGCGCTGTTACCTAATTAAAATCTTGATATCAACCTGGCTGGATTTTACGATTTGCTTCAGATCTGTCGTCACATTCGGCGATTGGCTTGCGAGGCTACGTCAACTGCAGCGGTGTATTTGATCTCGGATTTTGTGTCAGTAGCGCAAGCCTCACTCTATGCTTATGCGCGAGTGAAGTGAGTTTGGAAAAACTGAAAGTATGCATCTTAGAAAACGTTTTCACATACTACCTTTATATGTCCGAACTCTGAATCAAATAGTCGCTGTGGTAGAACATTGCACATTTATCATGCAGATGTGTCATGTAAACAAGATTATTAGGGAAATCGTTCTTGCACAGCATGTAGGCTAAACATTTAAATCAAACTATTATATTAATCTGCCTATTCACAATAATCATATTATTGTGTGCATACTCAGTGCTGGTTCCATGTTCCTATTGGTCAGTCATTGGGATCAGCTCCTAACACCAGCCACACTACATGATAAAAGCTAAAAAGAATTGTCTACGACCGCACGTTGTGGTACTTCAAATCAGAAGACCTAGACCCGGTCACACTGAACGAGCCAAGACGTCTGACAATCGTTTACAACCTAAGAATTTGCCCACGTCATAGACATTTTGTCTGGGATGGCAAAATCGTGGCAAAAGACGGCTAAAATCGTACAGTCTGCAAAGGCCTTAAGGTAAGCTACTCATAGTACAGTTTAGGTATCCTAACAGAACTTGCCTAGCTCCCTGAGCTTAAAGCCCCATTGAGGAGGAATCATTCATTCCCAACCTAAATACCTCCCTGCTTCTCAACCCAAATTATCTCCTTACTGCTAATCTCGTTTGGCATGTGCCTTCAAATCCTCAAAAAGTTATACAGCTGCACCATTGAGAGCATCTTTACTGGCTGCATCACTGCCTGGTATGGCAACAGCACCATCCTCGATCACATGGCACTACAGAGGGTGGTGCGGACAGCCCAGTACATCACTGGGGCAGAGCTCACTGCCATCCAGGACCTCTATATCAGGTGGTGTGAAAGGCCCGGAAAATCGTTAAAGACTCCAGCCACCCAAGCCATAGACTTGTCTCCACTTCCGCAGGGCAAGCGGTACAGGTGCATCAAGTCTGACACCAACAGGCTCCTGAACAGCTCCTATCCCCATGCCATAAGATTGCTAAATAGCTAACAGAATGGCTACACAGACCGAGTTGACCCTACACACTCACGCATAACAAGCACACACATTTATACTGACTCTACACACACTCGCATACAATCATCACATACGCTGCTGCTACTCTGTTTATCATATATCCTGATGCCTTGTCACCTTACCCCTATACATATCTACCTCTAATCACTCCAGTATCCCTGCACATTGTAAATATGGTATTGGAACTGACCCTGTACATAAAAGCGAAAGGAAAAACGTATTACTTTCTTGTGTTTTTGTTCTACCTTATGTTATTTTGTGGAGCTTGCAAGAAAGGCATTTCACTGTACTTGTGCATGTGACATTAAAACCACAGGCCTGAGGAACACATGCATGCTCCTAGACGTATCTAGGATGAGGTTATCGGCCTACACATGATGACCCAACCTAAATGCAAATAGTGTTATGCCTAACCAAACAGGCCAGATCAAACAATATTGAGCTGCCTTGAAAAGAAAGTGGCTTTGGCAGCAAGTAATTGCACACTCCGGTTTTTATTGGGCTATAACTTGGAGGTGATTGCAGGAATGCATTCAAATGTTCTTCTCACCAGTCTCTCTTGATCCTCTGTAGAAGCTGAATTGCTCTACAAATCTAATCAGTCCTGCAACTATGTAGCAGCCCATGAAAAGTAGATACTCTGGACAGCCTAATCAAGAACTCCTCATGAAAACATTGTGTTATGAATATGATCTATAATAGGGCCTCAGACCATTGAACTCAAATGAGTTAGCTGTAAGTTACCACATAAAATAAAAAATACTCTACTGATGGTGTTAAATCAGGTTTCCTGGACATTATGAAAGGTATCCTGCAGGGGTCGATTCTGGGTCCTGTACTTTTTTATGTTTACATTAACAATATCATCTTGTCTGTAAAAAAAAAAAAAGTGTAACCTGCACTTGTATGCAGATGATAATGTTGTGTATGCTATTGCGCCCACGGTTGACCAGGCTCTATCTGAACTGCAGTCTGCCTTTATTGTATTACAGAAAAACGTTGACCTCAAATTAGAACTGAATGCAGCTAAAACTAAGTATATGTTGTTTTCTAGAGCGCATAAAAATAAGTCTGATGATTTAAGCATATGTACTTTGGATGCTGTCCATATTGATCGTGTCAGTGCTTACAAATATCTGGGCATCTGGATAGATGAAAAGCTTGCTTTTAAAAAGCATATTGATGAGTTACTTAAGAAGCTGAGAAAAATGGTCTTATTCTATCGAAATAGGTCCTGCCTCTCGCTAAATAGTAGAAAGCAGATTATTCAGTCGACGTCGGTCCTAGACTATGGCGACATCATCTATATGAACGCAGCTGCCACTTCATTAAAGCCATTAAATGCTGTTTATCATAGCGCATTGCGCTTTATTACGGGCGACAATTTTAGTACTCATCACTGCATTCTCTACCAGAGAGTTGGTTGGCCCTCCGATATCACGTAGGTTGATACATTGCTATGTTTTCATTCATAAAGCCCTTTTACAAAAAGCCCCAATATCCCTAACATCATTACCAAACTTGAGACATACAAGTTACCACACCGGTCTCAGGAATGGCTAACTCTGGAAATTTGAAATTCTCGTGCCTCTAGGGCAATTCAGAAAGCTGATTGAGGACCTTATTACTGATGAATGTGTTTGTTTTGTATGACCGTGTTGTGCATTTATACTTGGATGTGTGTATTTCCTGTAATTTAGGGCTCATCTGTAAAATAGACCTTGGTCTCAGTATGACTCCCTGAGAAAAGAAAGGTTAAATCAATTAGTTAGCTGTAAGTTACATCACATGAAACAGGTCATAACTAGTTACCACAGCCCCCGCCTTCTACCATTTCTCTTAAAATTGATTTTAAACCTAAGCACACTGCTAACCTTAAATTAAGACCAAAAAGCAAATATTTGTTTTCATGAGTTTTTACCAAAGAGCCAACACTTGTGGCTGTGAAATGGAACGTCTGCGCAGGTGTGAGAGCACGAGCACAGGTTGGCAGCATGTCTGCAATGAAAACAGAGAGACAGACTACTGTCAACTAACCTTCTTCATAATGCCAGTCTTCCTCTTGCTAAAAGTTGTGTACCGCCGAAGTTTGTTGTCTATAAATTCCATTTTGATCTTGACTCGTCCGCGGGTTTTCTTGCCTGGTTTTGCCCCAGTTGCACCTCCCGTGACACCGCCATAACCTCCCGGGGGTAGCCCCACCGACGTCGCCGATGCAGCGACTTCCATCTCAGCTCTCTCCCGTTTCACCCCTCTTCTGTCCCCGGCTGAACCCATGGTCTCATCATCATCCCCGGAGTCGGACTCTGGTTCAGAGCCGCTGTACACCACCTCGGCTGAGTATTCTCTGATTCGGTCGTCAAACCTTCCACCTTCAGCACCACTCATGTTCGTTCCTGGGTTATTAACTTGAAGAGCATTCAACCCAGTCCCATTTCCAGATCGCGCGCCCCCTGCTCTTGTACCTATTCCTGCCCCGTTTCCACCCAACATTCCGAATCTGTCCCCCAGGCCTTCAAACCTCTCGCGCCGCCGCGATCAATGGTCCCACTGGTCTATGCGTAAATGTGCGATGTTGTGATCGAACAGAAATTATTCAAAATCTGTCCATTCCTCAGCCTGTTGGTGCAAATTGCCTTGAAATCCTAGCTAACGGAGAGATAGCGAGCTAGTTAAATGGCATTTAGCTAGCGACTTAATCAACAAGTAAAGCCTTGCTAGCTATATACTGCTGCGTGTTCTCTGTGAGCTTTAGGAAAACACGATCAAATGAATTACCACAGATGACTGTAAACTAAATAAATTGTCCATGACATATAATTTACGATCACAGTGCAAAGTTGTAGTCAGAAGTTATGTTTCCGCCTACAACTAATCAATCAAGCCCAACCCCCTACCCTTCTCCACATAAGGACATTTCGATTTACACCCATTGGTATTAATCCGCGATCACATATAGTTCACAACGAAAACGCTTGACCATTCCCAGTCTCTCTTCCAATATAGATAATTTATGTTATTAACATCTAAAGAATGTCTCTCTTTGAAAATACATTTTAAATGTACAAGAGTAACCAATTTAGCGCGCATGAATTCTATCCGGGGAAACGTTCTTTCGAGATCTACTTTCCACCATATACAGACATACATTTCCTTTTATGGTGTTGTCGCTCCTTATTTGGTGAGTCATAGCTCCGAACCCTAGGCAGAGAGGAAGAGGCGAAGCGAGAGCATTTACGCCGCCCAAAATCTGTCTGCGTGAGATAAGCCCTTTTTTGTATAAAGGTCTATGACAGAGTGTCGAATTACGTGAGACTTATTTGATCGAATAGAAGTTTCGTAATGTTTAGGCTGTTACACATGTACTGATACAAGTGGATGCATATGGTATTCCGGCAATTTTGAGAAAAACTACCTAGTTGTGCATGTTGTTATCACGAGTATCTGCCCTCTCATTGGCTAGAATGGTCCCACCTGATCTCGCCTGCCTTCAATAATTGAGGACGTGTATTTCCATTGTTAGAGCGGCCACTCGGCTATCTTGTAAATATAATAGATCATCTTTGCCCTTAACCTGGTTGTGATTGGACGAAAAGGCATAGTTTCGTCATTGAAAGGAGCCAAATGTGTTTTCATTGGATAAAAGTTATTTAAAAATTTCACACCATGTAATGTAATTTTTTCCCTGTGATGTTTGAATAGTGTTGCCCGTAAACTACCAACTTTTCCTGTGTTCTGAAAGTAGGACGTCAAGTCAAATACCCCAGTGTAAATGTGTGTCAACAGTGTTGGACCCATATCGATTCTTATTCCATATTTGGGACCCTGCAGAATTAACCCTGCAGACCCTGTGAATTAAAAGGAAAACAACCAACTTATTCTGGGGAATAAGAGACATTTAAATGCATGTATTACAAATGTCTCTTTATACGAGTTGTCTTCAAGTGATTCATCAAACAAATTCAGGTTCACGAAAGACTGTAGGTTTTGCTGTAGCCACAAGGTGGCGGTATAAGTCTATTATTTCCACAGTCAGGGAAGTTGTAAGGCGAGCTAGGTTTCCTTTTTGTTCAGGTTTATGCAAGGCAAACTTTGCATATAACCATACATACACCAACTGTTCTAGCACTCATGCTGCATTTTGATGCAACTTGCAAACACTTTCTCCAGCACTGCTTCCAAACGAGATGTGCATCCCAGGAGGTTGGTGGCACCTTAATTGGGGAGGACAGGCTCGTTTTAGTGGCTGGAGCTGAATGAGTGGAATGGTATCAAATAGGGTACATCAAACACATGGTTTCCATGTGTTTAATGCCATTCCATTTGCTTGGTTCCAGCTATTATTATGAGCTGTCCTCCCCTCAGCAGCCTTCACTTGTGCATTGTCATTCTGCCACAAGACTTGCTGCCTAAAGAACATGGTGTGACCTACAACCTCATGCACCAAGTTTAGAAAAACACTTTGTCTTGTATTAAATTCAAAACTATTCTACCTGACAGACAATCATACAGTACATGACCGAAAGTATGTGGACACCTGCTCATCAAATATCTCATTCCAAAATGATGGCCATTAATATGGAGTTGGTCCTCCCTTTGCTGCTATAATAGCCTCTACTCTTCTGGTATGGCTTTCCACCAGATGTTGGAACATTACTGCTGGGACTTGCTTCCATTCAGCCACGAGCATTAGTGAGGTCGGGAACTGATGTTGGGCGATTAGGCCTGGCTTCCAGTTGGCGTTCCAATTCATCCCAAAGGTGTTTGATGGGGTTGAGGTCAGGGCTCTGTGCAGGCCAGTCAAGTTCTTCCACACCGATCTCGACAAACCATTTCTGTATGGACCTTGCTTTGTGCACGGAGGCATTGTCATTCTGAAACAGGAAAGGGCCTTCCCCAAACTGTTGCCACAAAGTTGGAAGCACAGAATCGTCTAGAATGTCATTGTATGCTGTAGCATTAAGATTTCCCTTCACTGGAACTAAGGGGCCTAGCCCGAACCATGAAAAACAGCCCCATAGCATTGTTCCTCATCCACCAAACTTTACAGTTGGCACTATGCATTGGGGCAGGTAGCATTCTCCTGGCATCTGCCAAACTGCCACATGGTGTAGCGTGATTCATCACTCCAGAGAACGCGTTTCCACTGCTCCAGAGTCCAATGGAGGTGAGCTTCTCCCAACAAAGTTCTTGTTCTGATGTTACTTCCAGAGACAGTTTGGAACCACTTCGCAGCTGAGCCATTGTTGCTCCTAGACATTTCCATTTCACAATAACAACACTTACAGTTGACCGGGGCAGTTCTAGCAGGGCAGACATTTTATGAACTTACTTGTTGGAAAGGTGGCATCCTATGATGGGACCCCGTTGAAAGTTACTGAGCTCTTCAGTACGGGCCATTCTGCTGCCAGTGTTTGTCTATGGAGATTGCATGGCGGTGTACTCAATGTTTTACACCTGTCAGCAACGTTTGTGGCTGAAATAGCCGAATCCACTAATTTGAAGGGGTGTCCACATACTTTCGTATATACAGTACCAGTCAAAAGTTTGGACACACCTACTCATTCAAGGGTTTTCTTTTATTTTTTATACTATTTTCTACATTGTAGAATAATAGTGAAGACATCAAAACTATGAAATAACACATATGGAATCATGTAGTAACCAAAAAAGTGTTAAACAAATCAAAATACATGTTATATTTTAGATTCTTCAAAGTAGCCACCCTTTGCCTTGACAACAGCTTTGCACACTCTTGGCATTCTCTCAACCAGCTTCATGAGGAATGCTTTTCCAACAGTCTTGAAGGAGTTCCCACATATACTGAGCACTTATTGGCTGCTTTTCCTTCACTCTGCGGTCCAACTCATCCCAAACCATCTCAATTAGGTTGAGGTCGGGTGATTGTGGAGGCCATGTCATCTGATGCAGCACTCCATCACTCTCTTTCTTGGTCAAATAGCCCTTACACAGCCTGGAGGTGTGTTGGGTCATTGTCCTGTTGAAAAAATATGAAAGTCCCACTAAGTGCAAACCAGATGGGATGGTGTATCACTGCAGAATGCTGTGGTAGCCATGCTGGTTAAGTGTGCCTTGAATTCTAAATAAATCACAGACAGTGTCACCAGCAAAGCACCCCCACACCATCACACCTCCTCCTCCATACTTTACGGTGGGAACCACACATGCGGAGATCATCCGTTCACCTACTCTGCGTCTCACAGGGACAGCATCCGCCAGAGGACCAGGAACCACCGGCCTGAGGAGAGACACATGAAAAGTGGGTGAGACGCGGTAGTGAGGAGGAAGGAGCAGCCGGTACGATACCTAATTTATCCGCCGGAGGACCTTAAACGGCCCCACAAACCTGGGGCTCAGTTTCTTGCAGGGCAGGCAGAGAGGGAGGTTTTTTGTGGACAGCCAGACACGATCACCAGGCTGGAATACGGGGGCCCTCACTGCGGTGGCGGTCGGCATGGTCCTTCTGCCGACGAATGGCCCTCTGGAGATGGAAATGGGCGGCGTCCCAGACCTGTCCGACCCTGCAAAACCACTCGTCGACAGCGGGCACATCGGTCTGGCTGGGTGTCCAAGGGGCCAGGGCCGGCTGGTACCCCAGGACGCACTGGAAGGGAGTGAGTCCCCATGGAGGAGTGAACGAGGGAGTTCTGGGCATATTCTGCCCAGGGTAGAAACCTCGCCCACTTACCCTGCCGGTCCTGACAGTGGCAACGAAGAAACCTCCCCAGCTCCTGGTTCATGCGCTCCACCTGCCCATTCGACTGAGGCCTATACCCGGAAGTGTGGCTAGCCGTGGCCCCGATCTTCTCCAGGAAAGCCTTCCACACTCGGGAGGTGAATTGGGGGCCACGGTCCGAGACGAAGTCCTCCGGAAGTCCATAATGCCGGAAGACCTGTTGGAACAGGACCTCAGTGACCTGGAGAGCAGAAGGAAGACCAGTTAGTGGCAAAAATGGCATGATTTGGAGAACCGATCTACGACCACCAGGACTGTGGTGAAGCCGTCAGAACGTGGGAGGTCGGTGACAAAGTCTATGGACAGGTGTGACCAAGGTCGCTGAGGAACTGGGAGAGGACCTAGTTTGCCTGCCGGGGCATTCCGATGTGTCTTCGTTTGGGCACATACGGAACAGGAGTTGATATAGCGGGAGACATCAGTAGCCAAGGTGGGCCACCAGTATATTTGTGAGAGAGAATGTAGGGTGCGCGTCACACCGGAGTGTCCTGCCGTAAGAATGCTGTGCGCCCAGATCAGCAGGCGGTCACGGACCCTGGTGGGTACATACACGCGCCCCCGAGGGGCGTTGGCAGGCGCTGGATCCTCCTGAGCTGCCAGGCGGATGTCTTCGTCCACATCCCAAATGACAGGTGCCAAGATGAGAGACGGTGGCAGGATAGGACCCCCCAGATCCTTCCTTTCTCTGGTATGGTGCATCCTGGAGAGTGCATCGGCTTTCACATTCTGGGATCCT